TCCCAGCCTTCCCTTCCCCCCACCATTGCTCACTCAGCTCTCTCCCCCTCCTGCTCCTCCCAACTGTCACCCCCAGAATTCCATTGCCAGATGCTCCCAGAGCCCGGGAGCTCCATCAGTTGGAGATGCCGGCAGTGTGGTGAGAGGCTGGTGAGAGGCCCTGGGCACAGGATGGGGTATGGGGGAGCAGCCTGCCCTGGCCCCAAGCCACCAGCTCCCCCATCTAGGGGGCTGGTGTTTAACTACATGGAGCTTCCTGGCTGCGAGGGCTGACCTCGGCCCCATAGCCCCTCGCATGGCAGTAGGGCAATTAGGCTGAGCGAGGGGTCTCCCCTCCGTGGAAGCAGCACCCCCCACCCTGGGTCTGGATCTCAGCAGCCTCTCCGTGGTGAAGTCCCAGTCAGTCAGTGTGAGTCACCGCTCTCAGCGTCACCCCCTGACTGTGCTGAGGTGATCAGGGCTGGGCACGACACAGCCTCACTGAGCCAGTGGGGCAGCACCCGTCACTTTCTAGGGGCATTCTGAGGTGGGGGAGGCGCACACAGACGATATTGCCACGTTCCTAAGCACAAGGGCCTAAATCTCCTCTCATTGACTCAGGCGTCACACCAGTGTCATCCAGTAACTTAACTTTCATGGATGCACTCCTGACTCTCATTAGGGGTGAGTAAGCGGTGACTCAGCCCTACAGTCCCAGTGTCAGTGGGCTTTTCCCCACGGCTTTCGATGGGGCCAGGGGTTGACCGTAAATGACGCTGGTTTGAAAGGCCTGATCTGTGGTTTTGTAGGTCCCTGAAGCTACGGAACATAAACAGGTTTTCTTTTTGAAAGGGCGGTTTAATGCAGTTTCCCTGGAAACTCTGGTTTCCTTGGTAACCTTGTTACTGTTCACATTAAGATGGACACACACTGTTGTGAATTGGTTTGGGGTCCTGACTGCAGCTGTGCTGTGGAGGCCCGTGATGGGAATCCCAGCTTCCCAATAAGCTCACGAGTTATCTCACTTTTGTTTTGCAGTTCTCTTTCAGTTGCACCCGCTGCCTCTATATTCAGGAGAAACAGGATTCCAGCACTGAGGTACCTGGCATGTATACATCCTAAAATGACACCATGGGCAAATCCTATTCCCTCCTCTGCACCTTCAGAGGGCCCTGCTGCTGGCCTGCCCTGCTTGGGCTCCCCCTGCACAGCAGGGACTGGCAGTGGGCCAGAGGCGAGGCCTGTTATCCATCAGACATTGCCTCCCCTCCACCACCACCACCGTGGAGAAGGGCCACACAAGGACTATTGCAATCACAGGGCCTGCAGCTGCCACCATGGAGCAGCTTTGCTGTCACTGCAGCCAGGAGGGGAGGATTCCTTCCCCTCTGCCACTCCAGTGCCAAGCCCACCTACTGAAGCTTGCGTGGGAGATGTGTGAAGAAGGACAGGGAGTGTGGCCCAAAATGAGAATTTGAGGGTCACAGAGCTCAATTCATGCACCGACACCGTCTGTTTTATTGCTGCCTGTACCTGAAGCAGTGTGAAAGAACACAGTAAAACCATGACTTTCTTGGTAGAGTTCCCTGACCCTAGGATCACAGAGAGATAAACATTAGAGCCATTAAATAGTCCAAGGCCAAGGGGAATAATCCAACATACAGTTTGCCTGGGACATCTCAGCAAAGCAAATTACAGAGGCAGGGCTGAGATTAACACTAAATCGCTGATGGACAGTGATCGGTGAACCTAAAAGAATCAGATTCCAGGTCTGGTTCTGCATAAAAAAATCTGAATCCATCTTTTGAAGGCCCTGTTCTCTGAACTTTGTTATCTGTCTTCCACTCCCAGCAGGCCTTGCCTCTCCTCTGCATTGCTGTAAGTCTTCTTGGAGGTGAGTCTTAGCAACCTACTAATCCTTCCAATGCTGGAACTCATCTCCAAGGCACAACTGGGCAGCTACAATTTGTGTGGGATTTGAGAGCTCAGCTGCTAGATCTGCTCTACCCTTCTATCTCTAGGAAAATGATCTTCTGGGGAGCAGGCAGCTTCCCTTCCACCATTCAGATGCAGCAGGGCCTGGAAATGTTCCCCCAAGTTCTGCTGCTTTCTCCTACATTTTGGCTGATACCCCAGAGCGCAGTGGGGACTTAAGATAGGCCTGATGTCTCAGTGTCACAGTGCTTTAAAGAGCAGTGCACAGTCAGGAGCAGCACGACCTGGGGGAGGGCTTCCCAATCCCACCTCAGAAAACCAGGGATGGTGTGAATTGGAGCTGGGCAGTGGGCCTGCCAACTGGCCTCTGAAATTTTGAAAGAGGATGCTCACCACTTGGACTGTTCAAGTGGACTACAGCACTGAGCTTCACCCAGCCTCCACCATCTAAGAAGTGGGAAGGAGTGTAAAGAGGCCATTTTTTGGATGGATCCCTCTGAAAGGGCTATGGGGCATCCTGAGTCAATTTATTCAAATATTTAGAACGTCAAAAAACACAGAGGTTTGAGAGGTTCTTATTGTATGCAGTCCCCTTTGCTGTTCCTGGCAGGACACAGCAGTTTTTGCTTTTTGTCACTACCAGGTGCTTGGTCGTGCATCCCCACCAGGAGACAGGAGGTCTTCTTGTTAACATTAGCCTAATGGTGTGGAAGCCTAGTGTAAATCAGAACACTTATACCATGCGTTCCACCACCCCAGAATGTTCTCTTCCCCTGGAGAGTGAGCTTATTCTGTTGAAACTTCATCCAAAATGTGCAGATATTTTCTACTAGAGATGGAGCCAGGCTGCAAAGATCAGATTTTACTCCTTTCCCCAAAGTTCAAAGTTGATCAAAGTTCTGATTGGAAAACATCTCTTTTACACTGTGCCGGAATGGCTCATTTGGCTTTTCTTATACTCTCCCATTCGGTCCTGTCTGCACTTTCTGTTTGGAGGTGAACCCCACATCTCTCTCTCTCTCTCTGCCCTGGTCTACACTAGGACTTTAGGTCGAATTTAGCAGCGTTAAATCGATTTAAACCTGCACCCGTCCACACAATGAAGCCCTTTATTTCGACTTAAAGGGCTCTTAAAATCGATTTCCTTACTCCACCCCTGACAAGTGGATTAGCGCTTAAATCGACGTTTCCGGCTCGAATTTGGGGTACTGTGGACACAATTCGATAGTATTGGCCTCCGGGAGCTATCCCAGAGTGCTCCATTCTGACCGCTCTGGACAGCACTCTCAACTCAGATGCACTGGCCAGGTAGACAGGAAAAGAACCGCGAACTTTTGAATCTCATTTCCTGTTTGGCCAGCGTGGCAAGCTGCAGGTGACCATGCAGAGCTCATCAGCACAGGTGACCATGATGGAGTCCCAGAATCGCAAAAGAGCTCCAGCATGGACCGAACGGGAGGTACGGGATCTGATCGCTGTTTGGGGAGAGGAATCCGTGCTATCAGAACTCCGTTCCAGTTTTCGAAATGCCAAAACCTTTCTGAAAATCTCCCAGGGCATGAAGGACAGAGGCCATAACAGGGACCCGAAGCAGTGCCGCGTGAAACTGAAGGAGCTGAGGCAAGCCTACCAGAAAACCAGAGAGGCGAACAGCCGCTCTGGGTCAGAGCCCCAAACATGCCGCTTCTATGATGAGCTGCATGCCATTTTAGGGGGTTCAGCCACCACTACCCCAGCCGTGTTGTTTGACTCCTTCAATGGAGATGGAGGCAATACGGAAGTAGGTTTTGGGGACGAAGAAGATGATGATGATGAGGAGGTTGTAGATAGCTCACAGCAAGCAAGCGGAGAAACCGGTTTTCCCGACAGCCAGGAACTGTTTCTCACCCTAGACCTGGAGCCAGTACCCCCCGAACCCACCCAAGGCTGTCTCCTGGACTCAGCAGGCGGAGAAGGGACCTCTGGTGAGTGTACCTTTTAAAATGCTATACATGGTTTAAAAGCAAGCATGTGAAAGGATTACTTTGCCCTGGCATTTGCGGTTCTCCTAGATGTAGTCCTAAAGCCTTTGCAAAAGGTTTCTGGGGAGGGCAGCCTTATTTCGTCCTTCATGGTAGGACACTTTACCACTCCAGGCCAGTAACACGTACTCGGGAATCACTGTAGAACAAAGCATTGCAGTGTATGTTTGCTGGCATTCAACCAAAATCCGTTCACGCGGTGGGAGGAGGCAAAATGCGACCTTGTAACAAAAGCACATGTGCTATGTATGTAATGTTAACAGCAAGGTTTACCCTGAAAGAGTGTAGCGACTGTTTTATAAAATGTGTCTTTTTAAATACCGCTGTCCCTTTTTTTTTCTCCACCAGCTGCATGTGTTTCAATGATCACAGGATCTTCTCCTTCCCAGAGGCTAGTGAAGCTTAGAAAGCAAAAAAAACGCACTCGCGATGAAATGTTCTCCGAGCTCATGCTGTCCTCCCACACTGACAGAGCACAGACAAATGCGTGGAGGCAAATAATTCAGAGTGCAGGAAAGCACAAAATGACCGGGAGGAGAGGTGGAGGGCTGAAGAGAGTAAGTGGCGGGCTGAAGAGAGTAAGTGGCGGGCTGAAGACAGGGCTGAAGCTCAAATGTGGCGGCAGCGTGATGAGAGGAGGCAGGATTCAATGCTGAGGCTGCTGCAGGACCAAACCAGTATGCTCCAGTGTATGGTTGAGCTGCAGCAAAGGCAGCTGGAGCACAGACTGCCACTGCTGCCCCTCTGTAACCAACCGCCCTCCTCCCCAAGTTCCATAGTCTCCACACCCAGACGCCCAAGAACGCGGTGGGGGGGCCTCCGGCCAACCAGCCACTCCACCACAGAGGATTGCCCAAAAAAAAGAAGGCTGTCATTCAATAAATTTTAAAGTTGTAAACTTTTAAAGTGCTGTGCTTAAAGTGCTGTGTGGCATTTTCCTTCCCTCCTCCACCACCCCTCCTGGGATACCTTGGTAGTCATCTCCCTATTTGTGTGATGAATGAATAACGAATGCATGACTGTGAAGCAGCAATGACCCTCTGCAAGCAATGATTAAAGGGAGGAGGGGAGAGTGGTTAGCTTACAGGGAAGTAGAGTGAACCAAAGGGCGGGGGGGTTCATCAAGGAGAAACAAACAGAGCTTTCACACCGTAGCCTGGCCAGTCATGAAACTGGTTTTCAAAGCTTCTCTGATGCGTACCGCGCCCTCCTGTGCTCTTCTAACCGCCCTGGTGTCTGGCTGCGCGTAACCAGCAGCTAGGCGATTTGCCTCAACCTCCCACCCCGCCATAAACGTCTCCCCCTTACTCTCACAGATATTGTGGAGCACACAGCAAGCAGTAATAACAGTGGGAATATTGGTTTCGCTGAGGTCTAAGCGAGTCAGTAAACTGCGCCAGCGCGCCTTTAAACGTCCAAATGCACATTCTACCACCATTCTGCACTTGCTCAGCCAGTAGTTGAACAGCTCCTGACTACTGTCCAGGCTGCCTGTGTACGGCTTCATGAGCCATGGCATTAAGGGGTAGGCTGGGTCCCCAAGGATACATATAGGCATTTCAACATCCCCAACAGTTATTTTCTGGTCTGGGAATAAAGTCCCTTCCTGCAGCTTTTGAAACAGACCAGAGTTCCTGAAGATGCGAGCATCATGCACCTTTCCCGGCCATCCCACGTTGATGTTGGTGAAACGTCCCTTGTGATCCACCAGAGCTTGCAGCACTATCGAAAAGTACCCCTTGCGGTTTATGTACTCGGCGGCTTGGTGCTCCGGTGCCAAGATAGGGATATGGGTTCCATCTATAGCCCCACCACAGTTAGGGAATCCCATTGCAGCAAAGCCATCCACTATGACCTGCACATTTCCCAGGGTCACTACCCTTGATATCAGCAGATCTTTGATTGCGTGGGCTACTTGCATCACAGCAGCCCCCACAGTAGATTTGCCCACTCCAAATTGATTCCCAACTGACCGGTAGCTGTCTGGCGTTGCAAGCTTCCACAGGGCTATCGCCACTCGCTTCTCAACTGTGAGGGCTGCTCTCATCTTGGTATTCATGCGCTTCAGGGCAGGGGAAAGCAAGTCACAAAGTTCCATGAAAGTGCCCCTACGCATGCGAAAGTTTCGCAGCCACTGGGAATCGTCCCAGACCTGCAACACTATGCGGTCCCACCAGTCTGTGCTTGTTTCCCGAGCCCAGAATCGGCGTTCCACAGCATGAACCTGCCCCATTAGCACCATGATGCATGCATTGTCAGGGCCCATGCTTTCAGAGAAATCTGTGTCCATGTCCTGATCACTCACGGGACCGCGCTGACGTCGCCTCCTCGCCCGGTATCGCGTTGCCATGTTCTGGTGCTGCATATACTGCTGGATAATGCGTGTGGTGGTTAATGTGCTCCTAATTGCCAAAGTGAGCTGAGCGGGCTCCATGCTTGCAGTGGTATGGCGTCTGCACAGGTAACTCAGGAAAAAAGGCGCGAAATGATTGTCTGCCCTTGCTTTCATGGGGGGGGGGAGGGAGGGAACGGGGGGCTGACGATATGTACCCAGAACCACCCGCGACAATGTTTTAGCCCCATCAGGCATTGGGATCTCAACTCAGAATTCCAATGGGCAGCGGAGACTGCGGGAACTGTGGGATAGCTACCCACAGTGCAACGCTCCGGAAGTCGACGCTTGCCTCGGTACTGTGGAAGCGCTCCGCCGAGTTAATGCACTTAATGCACTTAGAGCATTTTCTGTGGGGACACACACACTCGAATATATAAAACCGATTTCTAAAAAACCGACTTCTATAAATTCGACCTAATTTCGTAGTGTAGACATACCCTCTGTCTCTCTGGAGTACAGAATGAAAGTAAGTCCTGTGTCACAGACAGTCCCCTCCTGTCGAAGCAGTGGTTTCACACTGAACATTTATGTCTGTTCTTGGTGAACTCATCTAGAATGCTTGGCTTCCTCCAAAAGCAGGGGCTGAAAATTGTCTGCTATCTTGTCACTTCATCAGGGAGCATCCTCCAGGCATCATGGCTTTGTTAACTGATGCTGATAAGAAGAATATCCAACACATCTGGGCAAAGTTATTTGAGAATCCAGAAGAGAATGGCAAAACAATTGTGATCAGGTGAGTCATGACATTCAAGGGTTTCCTGCTTATCTGGGTTTAGTTCCTGCTGTCATTTTAATTCAAACCATAGTGTAAAATATGCTATAAAATGTAGCTTTCTTCTGTGCTTGTTTGTGACATCTGATATCCTCACTGTTGTTCCTTCTGTCTCTACTAAACATAGCTGTTGTGAGATATCTTTTATTGGACCAATTTCTGTAGGTGAGAGAGACAATCTTTCAAGCTACACAGAGATCTTCTTCCGGGCTAGGAAAGGTACTCAAGAGTGTGCCAGCTAAATACAAGGTGGAACAGATAGTTTAGCATAAATAGAATATGTGCTACGAGACCATTCAAGGTGAAGTGGCCTGGTGTAACATCCCTGCAGTCATAAGACAAAAAGGGGGGCTAATGGGATACAGATTGTTGTAATAAGCCATAAATCCAGTGACTTTATTAAGACCATGATTGTTAGTGTCTAGCAGCAGAGTTATGAATTTAAGCTCCCAGGCTCGTCTTTTGAAAGTGTTGTGCAGGTTTCCTTTGAGGGTGAGGACTCATAGGTCAGATACAGTGATCGCTTTGTGAAAAGTGTTCTCCCACAGGTGATGTAGTGTTTTTGTCTTTTATCATTGTCTCCCTAATATTGTGGGACTGACACAATTACAACAACACTGCATATACCTGCTGTGAGTGTATTTATATAGTGACTGTGATTGCCCACGAGACAGACTTGCAGATAAAGGTCGTAGCAGAGCACCATACATTTGATTTTACTCCACTGGAAACTTTTCACTCTTCTCCTTCCCCATGAAACATCCCTCTCTGTTTCTGTGCTGCTTGAGAGTGAAGACTTAGGGCATTACTCTGCAACGGGATGAGCAGGTCTGCTCTGTTCTCTGAGCTCCTCTCATCTTCAGCGTGTGGTTTTGTTTCAGTCAATAATATGAACTCCAGGTTCAGTTCAAATTCTAAATCCATAGATTCTGAAGCTGGGCCTCTGGACTAAGGGGATGGAGATGCCTGGTGGACAGTGACAACATGCATCCTTCTCATCAGTTTGGCATGAGGTTCAAGAAGACAGAAAGCCCTCGTTCTGCCTTTCCCCTTTGCTGTCTGGTCTCTGAGCTGAAGAGGGTTATTCAAACTGAAATGTGCTTCGAAATAATGTTCATTAAAAATATAACTGTTCCTTTCATTCTGCCCTTTACTATGATGCTCATTGTGCAGGATTCCTTTCCCCTCCCACTACATTCACTGGGGACGCACTATTATTCCCTTTAATAGTTGCTGGCCAGATGTGTTCCAGGATAATGCGTTCTTCTAAGAGGTTTTGTTAATGAGTGTGCATCAGGTGATCTACCAAAGGGACTGAACAGCTTTGGGAGTGAATTAGTCAGTTTCTATCCTCTGTCACTGAGGGGGTGATATTGCTGCACATTTAAAATTGCTGGTCCAAGATACTGAGCATTACTCTTTTGTAAATTCCTTGAAGTCCATCTGTTCACACTTGGACTTTTGTAATGTTGCAGCTGTCACTCCTAAGCACCCTTGGGAATTTGTCTAGCTAAAATAGTATGATATAAATAGCTTCATACAAATACAGGACAGGAGTCACACTATGAGAGGGTGCTAGTTCACTCTGAAAGGGAATGCTTTGGATTAAGGGGGTCCTCTTCCTTCAAATATCCTTTGTTTTTTGCCACCTGGACCTACCCCAAGTTTGTCCTTTTGGATACCCCAGTAAACAGTTAAGCAGCTGTCACAATTAAGAGAAGAGGCCATTCAATATATCAGTCTGAAAAACATATAATGAAATAAAATGATTTACTGAATCAAAATACAGGGCTTCTTTTAATGTGTATTTGACAAACTCTGTAATAAGAAGCCTCAACTGAATGTTTCACCCTGGCTAAATACCATGCAACTGAACTTACTGGAGGAGTAACTAGACTAAATTCTGTGGCCTGTTTTATACAAAGAGATCAGATTAAATGATCTAATAGTGCCTCTTGCCTTAAAAATTTATGAAGCCTCAGCACTGGCCAGATATGTCCCCATTAAGCAGAATTGTTGCTGTTACTGTCCCAACTAAGCAAAGTTATCACCATTCACTGTCATTAGTACCTGGAAAGAGGGTCCAATGACCTCTATCTCCTGGTAACATGGAGCATAATGTTTCAGGGCAACAATAATTAGCACCAACCAGAATGGATTAAGAAGTCATGATGGGAAGTTTTTCTGAACTTTGATGTGGAATTCTCAGGAACAGGCCTTGTTGCCAGATTTCCAGAGCTTATGGACTGAGACCTACGGACGCACCCTGGCGGTCCACAGGGGCCTGAAACTGGGAGCACCTCTGTTTTGGTGCAAATGCATGTTGTCACTGTAACTGGGCACCAAGCCCCAAGACTCTAGCTCAGAGACAACCCATACCTGTTGATATCAGGAGGGCACAGTGTAAAGGTTCAGCCGCCCCAAGAGCAGCTCAAGCCCTGGCCCCTTACCCTCAGTCTCCCCTCCCAGAAAGCAGTGGATCCTCCCTGCAGCTTCCAGCTGTTGCTCCTACCTCTGCCCGTGGTCGCAGCTCATGGGCTCTGGAAGTTGCTGCACAGGGAGGGGGCCCAGCCAGATCATGTGACCAAGTGGGGCCGGCAAACCCTGGCAGAAATCAGGGGCGGGGGAGGCACATAATCTGTGGGTCCCCCACACGTCATCTTTAAATGGTAGGGAACACATTGTTGAACAGTCACATAGCAAGAAAGGTTTTTCTTGGCATATATTTCACTGGCTACTTTTTCCTGATTTAGATCTGGTTCTTCTAACAGTCTTTTTCTTATACTAATATCTTGTATATGCATCACAATTTGATCTCTTATCATTAAATCATATTGGTTCTGGAAATTATGTGTCTGACATCTTTAGATATGTTAAAAATTATTCAAAAATCTCTTCCTCCATTTGATTTCTTGAGTGAAACTGAAATCTTTCAGAAATGTTTCATTTCTTGTTTGTAAACAGTATGCCTCAATTTTTTTCTAAGACAAACTCATAGTCAGTTTGTTCTCTAACATTAAGCTCAAATGAATTATATAATGAAATTGCTTCAGTGCCTGCGATATTAAAAAAGATGACAATCTTTTTTTGTCTTATAAGTAAATTCCTATGCCCTCAAAAATAAATCAAATATTTATTTAAACCTTTTCAGCATTTTGCAACATTGTTAGAAATGTCAGAACTCTTAATTGATCCATATTATTTCATTCAAACTTGTTTTTCACTGCTGAGTAACTATTACCTTAATTCATTGCTAGTAATTTAACAATGGCCTTTATTAGATACATAGTTAACATATAGACATTTTAACTCTGGTCAATCTGTCAGTCTAACCTAAAACCAATAGCCTCCTCCCACAGTCATCTCCCACTCTGGAGATACTCTTAAAGCCACAGTAAAACCACAGTGGGCTTGCTTTGCTAATTTGTGATTTTCAGTCACTATTGTTTCTTCCCAGTACAGACTCTTCACAGATTATCCTGAGACAAAAGCATACTTCAAGACCATCCCGACTGAAGGCAACCTGCAGGAGGATCCGCTGGTGCGTTTCCATGGCCGGAGAGTCATGGTTGCCCTCAACCAGGTGACTGAAAACCTGGACAATTGGAAGCAGGCCTGCAGGATTCTGGACCGTCTAGCAGTCAAGCACAAGAATGTGCACCAAGTGCCATCAGTGAATTTCCAGGTACTGATGCATGCAGACATCAAGGGAACATGCTTTGTTTAGAGATTACAGCTATTTGTTCTGGCACGGGGGACAGATCAGTATCCCAGAGGCATAGCTATGCATGTTCACACATTGTGACATGGTTGTCAAAAAGCAGGAGATTAGCATAGGCATGTGCAATAAGCAGTAGAGTTAATAAAGCACCCATGCCATGCAAGTTCAATTGTTTGTGCAATCAAATGTATGGAAAATGAGATCACAGAAGTTTATTACAATAACCCCCCGAGGCCTCAACCAAGATCAGGGCCCTGTTGTGCTGGGCTGTTGTCAGGGTTCCCCCCACCCAACTCTGAACTCTGGAGTGCAGATGTGGGGACCCTCATGAAAGACCCCCTAAGCACCTATTCTACCAGCTTAGGTTAAAACTTCCCCAAGGCACAAATTCCTTTCCTTGTCCTTGAACGGTATTCCTGCCACCACCAAGTGATTTATACAAAAATTCAGGGAATGGGTACTTGGAATCCTTATCCCCCCAAGCCCCTTCACCCCCTTTCCTGGGGAGACTTGAGAATAATATTTCAACTAATTGCCTTAGCAATGTAAGCACAGACCAGACCCTTTGTCTTCAGGCACTGAAATCAATCAGGTTCTTAAAAGAAGAAACTTTATTTTTAAAGAAAAAAGTAAAAGAATCACACCTGCAAAATCAGGATGGAAGGTAACTTTACAGGGTAATAAAAAGATTTAAAACACAGAGGACTCCCCTCTGGACTCAGCTTCATAGTTACAAAAACAGGAATAAAACTACCTTTGTAGCATAGGAAAATTCACAAGCCAAAACAAAAGACAACCTAACACATTTCCTTGCCCTACTTACAATTTCTGTGGTTTTAGATCTATTATTCCAGGTATATTTTCAGGAGATGTTGTACCTGCTTGGTCTCTCTCCTTCCAACCGGAGAGGGAACAACAAAGAGAGCACAAACAAAACCTTCCCCCACACCCCCACCCCAGATTTGAAAGTATCTTCTTTCCTCATTGGTCCTTCTGGTCAGGTACCTACTAGGTTATTTGAACTACTTAACCCCTTACAGGTAAGGCAATTCAGTATAGCTGCCAAGGAGGGATTTTATGCTACCCTTCTCTCTATATTTATGACATTTATTACAATAACCCCCAGAGGCCTCAACCAAGATCAGGGCCTTGTTGTGCTCGGCTCTGTACACACATACAATAATAGTCCTCGTCCCCAAAGAGCTTACAGCCCACACACACAAGATAGACAAAGAAGGGATAGCCCCTATGTTACAGAGAGGGAACTTGGATAAGTGACTTTCCCCAAGTCACATCAGGAGTCTGTGGCAGAGTTAGGAACTGACTCAGATCTCTGGACCCACAGCCAGATCCACACCTACATCGTCCTTCCTCTCATCACAAAGTCTTTACAAAGTATTTAACTTCTAATAAAAAAATACCAGCAAAATGCACTTAAATGGGCTTAGATGCAAACACTAACACTTGGTTTGAACCCTGGCTCCAGAAGCTTAAACTAAAAGGAATGATCATTGGGAAGGTGCAGATTTGGGGAAGACATCTAGTGAGTCCTGCAGAGATCAGTGTTAGGTCCAGCCTTAGATAACACCCCCCACGATGCTGAAGTGGAAGCAAACAGCCCATTAGTACAGTTACAGGTGATAGGTGCGGAAATACGGGCAGGACATTATAAAATGAGGTTCAGCCTCCACTGGTAGTTTTTCAAATGTTTTCATAAAATAGCCCATGTCTCAGTAGAGAGAGCATCCAATGGACGCCTCCACTCCTGTTCCTGGCTGCAGCCCACCTCCCCTCCCCCATGTAATTGTTTGACACCCCGTAACACCCACAGCAGTAACTTACATGGAGAAAGTCAAGAGCTGCAGAGGGCTAATAAGGTGACAGTGAGTGCAGTGTCTCCAGGTATAGGAACCCTACTACTAGCTCCAAGCACCCTACCCATAGGAAACCTAACCCTACATTGGGGAGTCCTACTCATAGGAACCCTAACCCTAGTTCCAATTACCCTACCCATAGGAAACCTAACCTACCTCCAAGTATCCTACCCATAGGAAACCTAACCTACCTCCAAGCACCCTACCCATAGGAAACCTAACCTACCTCCAAGCACCCTACCCATAGGAACCCTAACCCTACATTGGGGAGTCCTACTCATGGGAAACCTAACTCTAGGGAGGGAAGACCTATCCATAAGAACAGTAACCCTAGCTCCAAGTAACCTATCAATATGAATGCTATCCATAGCTCTAATTTCTCCATAGCAATCCTAAGCCTAGGGCCGGGAGCTGTACCCATAGGAACCCTAACCCTAGCTCCTAATACTCTACCCGTAGGAAACCTAACTCTAGAGTGGGGACCCTTACCCTAGGAACCCTAACCCTAGCTCTAAGTACCCTTCTCATAGGAACCCTAACCCTAGGGCAGGGAGCCCTGCCCATAGGAATCCTAACCCTAGTTCCAATTACCCTACCCATAGGAATCCTAGCCCTAGGGCAGGGAGCTCTAGCCACAGGAACCCTAAATCTAGCTCCACATAACCTACCCATAGGAATCCTAACCCTAACTTCTAGTACCCTACCCATATGAACCCTAACCCTAGGGCGCAGAGCCCTGGATGACCCTCAGCTCCATGGCTCCCTCACATCTGAGCCAAAGTCTAATAAGCACAAGAGCTGCTGCTCTATAAAAGCCACAAGAATTTAACTTTGTAACACAAACAGAGAGGTAAGAGTAGGTAGCCCTAGAGGTGAGGAGAACAGGGGCAGTCAGTTTGGGATCCTGCTCCCAAAGGATGTAAGAGGATTGATAACTGGCAGGCAGTGCTGCCAGTCACTCCAGGGTTACTGCACTGCACCTAGGGGCTTGTTCAGAATTGGTTCCTTTCAAGCTGAAGAATTTACCAACCTTAATGCAATTTTGCATTTGTGTCTCACTCGCTCTGTGTTCCTTTGACAGAGCATGTTTCAGGTGATCCTGAATGTCTGCAAAGAACTCCTGGGAAATGAATTCAGCACCGAGGTGTCCCTCTCCTGGGTGAAGCTCTTCAGTCTGCTCTCTGAACAAATAAATGCATCTTACATGAGCACTTCCAAGTCCTGAAGTGACCACAGTCACTCTATAGCTATTGAAGAGAGGAGACTGGTTCTGTTCATGTTGTTATATATATATAGTTCTAGATCTGATGGAATAAAGGGAGACTCAGCAACATTTTTCTTGATCAGTGTTTGATTTCAGAACACAGGAATTGCTAGACTGCATCAGACACAGATCCATCTAGTCAGGGTCATGTCTGACAGAGGAAGAAAGGGTGGAAGAGCCCTACAGTAGGCAGATGTGGGATAATCTGCCCTCCACATTCATATATTCCAAGGCCAGAAGCAATCCCAGGGAAGATCCTTTAGAAAAACATCCAGACTTGATTTAAAAATTGTCAGCGATGGAGAATCCTCAATGACCCTTAGTAAGTTGTTCCAATGGTTAATTACTTTCACCATTAAAAATGTATACCTTATTTCCTGTCTGAATTTGTCACTGGTCACCTGTCCATAGTGTGATTGTGTGGTATGTAGCACACACTAACACCCCATCTTGTGCTTTACCTGCTTCCCACAGAGATTCTCAAACTGTGGGTCAGGACTCCAAAGTGGGTCACAACTCATTTTAATGTGGTCATCAGGGCTGGTGTTAGACTTGCTGGGGTCCAGGGCCAAAGCCCAAGCCCGAGCCCCACTGCCTGGGGCCCAAGCCCAAGCCCGAGGCCCACTGCCCGGTGTGGCAGGGCTCAGGTTATGGGCTGAAGCCCTTGGCCTTTGGCTTTGGCTCCTCCGCCTGCAGTCGTGGGGCTCAGGCTTTGGCCCGCCCCCTGGGGAGGTGGAGCTCGGGTGGGCTCAAGCTTTGGTCCCCCCTCCTGTGGTCATGTAGTAATTTTTGTTGTCAGAAGGGGGTCTCCATGCAATGAAGTTTGAGAACCACTGCCAGTTAGGCACTGATCAGTAAGTGTTCAAGATCATTTTCTAACAGCTATCAGTAACCTGAAAACGGGTGGTGCCATTTTTTATGTAGACTGCCACATCCTTTACCCTTTTGCCCACTGATCCTTCCAAAATAGGTTCTAAACATTGATTTTAACATTCCAATCATGGGAATCATCCCACCAAGTATCAGTAATACCAACTGAGCCAAATTTATGCTAATAAATGAGCAATTCCAATTCCTCTCATTTGTTACCCATGCTGCTAACACTGGTACATAGTTCAATTCAATAATTTCTTCTCTTCATGTCCTTTAGGTGCTTAATTAGTTTTGTTCTCAACATCTCCATTTTGTGTGGTGTGCTCATATCTTCCCTCCCTTTGTCCTCCCATTTTGTTTCACAGAACCATGGTCTGATGACACATCCCAACCTCTCAGCCTCCATCTGACAGCTTGGATGCTCAGTGGTTAATTCCACAGGAAACAGCGTGTTCCCTAGAGGTTCAAAATATATATATTTTTAATAGCAGAAATCCATCCACCAGCTATGCTTACCTCATGAAGTGGGGTACCACTTCTCTCTGTGGTACCAGTAGAGGGGTACTTCTTCTTTGCAGGCTTCTACACAGCTTATTCTGGGTCACCTGCTCCACCGAACGGGGACAGGGCTCTCCCTCCATTCCCTGAGAGTTCACTTGGCAGCTAGTTCCACATTCTATCCTCCTGTAGAGGGAAGATCTGTTTTTTTCCACCCAAGTACTATTGGATTTCTAAAAGGGTTACAAAGACTTCCCACCTTTAAGAGATCCCCTGGGTTTCACGGGGTCTAAATTTGGGTTTCAGCTCTAACAGGCCTGTCTAGGGGTACTGCGCTCCAGCATGCCCCTTTGTGGCCCTGCATGTGCTCCCTGTCTCAGTTTCCTCCTCCCCAGGGTGTTCTATCTCTCCCAGGGTTCATGTGGCTGAGCCCTCCAGCTGGGTCACTGAGATCAATCCCTTTTCAGGGTAACAAGTCCAAACAATGGTCTCAAAGGTTCTTCTGGCCTTCAGGGCTCCTCTGAAGCCTGTCCTCTGGGCCTTCTTCCCAGTACCTTTTAGTCTCTCTTTCTCTCCTTAAACCATAGTCCCCAGCTCTCCTCCTTGGAGCTGGGTTGTGAGTTAGCCAGGTGCAGGGCCTCAGCCAGCTTCTTTCTCAGCTGGCCCCTTCCGCCCATTTAGTCCTCAGCCTCAGAAAGTTCAGCAGGCAGCATTGTCCTACTGGTGCCTGCCCTGCTATGAAAGGTAGGGTTGCCAGTTTTGGTAGGATGTATTCCTGGCTGTTTCATCATATGACATAATCTTTAATTAAAGATTAATCTTTAATTCCTGGAGACTCCTGGGTTGGCAACCCTAAAAGGTGTTACGGGGGTGGAAGGGGGAGGCAACAACATCCTCTACCACTATCTCCTAAGTCCTTGCATATATATTGGACCTTTCAAAATCTTAAAGGGTCACACCACGCAATGGGAGTGGGTGACCACTGGGCTCCACTACTCTTGATGGACTGTTCTTCCAGCCCTGCCGCAGCCCACAGGCTCTCATAGTCACATGGGGCTTCTCCTGGTTCATGCACGTCAATGGCAATAAAGATACTGGTTTCCGTTCCAGCTGTGCACCCTGCTCTCTTCATGTACCCAGATGTCACTGCATGATCAATTTGGCCCTAGAGTGGGAACTCATCTAATGGCATTGACTGTGCTAAATGAATCAGAATAGACCCCAGGTCCCTCTCCCAGAGCTGGGCTGGCTCTGCAGGGGCAGTAGGAATGAGACAGAGCTGTCACTGACATACACAGCTATGGCTGGGAGTGGGGCCCTGATACAGAGTAGCCAGTCCCTATGGGTAGATCAGGCCAGCGCCGGTGTGTCAGAGCAGCTGGGCCCAACTGAGCCAACTAAAGGAGGCAGGGCTGAGAGTGAGAGTAAGAACAGTGTTGAACTTGCCAGCAGGTCAGATTCAGACATGCCAAACCAGCAAAAAAACCCACAGAAACTGGGCTTAGTTTTGGCTTAATTGGCTTTGAGTTTTTGGCTTGTAGCTTGTTTGGCTTGTAGCTTTTTGTAGCTTGTTGTTTCTTTTTTTTTTTCTTTTTTGATTGGCTCCCAGCAAGCAGGGGCAAGGGGCAAGCAGGGGCAACGTGGGGGAAAGAGTCAGGGGTGCACAGTGAGCCCACTACAGTCCCAGACTGCGGGCCGGGGGGATCTAGTCACATAGGGTGTTGGGGTTCGTAGTGATTGGCTTGTTTTGAAATGGGATTAGCTTGATTTTTGGCTTATTGTGAAAGTCAGCGTGTTTGTTTGTCACGTGAAAGTTGTCAACTGGTCAGATTGGATCAGAAATCCCCAAGACAAGGCCACAAAGTCACTCTACAGGGCAGAGCCGCACTTCAGAATGGATTGTGTCACCCATTAGTGTGACTCCTAGAACCGCGAGAACTGGCCAGCTTTGTAATGTGCCAGATACTCTATTGCCTGGATATTAACTGCATGGTTGATGGGTTAGTTATTACCTACACGGATGCTGGATTCGTTATTAACTACATGTTATTAACTGCATGGGTGGTGGGATTTTTCTGGTCAGGTGTTTGATGCTCACATAATTTTCTTCTTGCTGGAGCTGGCCTCACTCCAGTTCAAAGCAAAGCTAGTGGCAAAGCCACCTCAATTCTGGAGTGGAGTTCAGAACCTGGGCAAGATCCAGATCCAGCTATTACAGTTGCTCCCTCTTTCTATAATGAGCTGAAACGAAGCCCTGTGTCAGACAGCACTAAACTCCTGGAGGTTCAGACCCAGATCTGTGTCACAGGCCCATCTCTAGCTTTGGCTGGTTGGTTTGGTACAAGTATCTGTTTGAAGCCAGGTTGGCACTGTTAGCAGTAGTGGTATGAGTATAAAGCAGGTTGACAGCGCCATCTGGAGGCAGCAGAGGTTTATGGTCACACTGTCATTTTGTGCATCTGTTTTGAGCTCAGCCATACTGATCTTGTCACTCCTGCCAGGGTCACAGTGCAGTGCCCATCGAAGGAAGGCTTCAGCCCTGTCCCCAAGCTCAGCATGCACACTCTCATCCAGGGCAGGCTGTGTTGATAAAGGTGGGGTCTGGTCCAACAATGGGTAAGATGTTAATAAATAATAATAATACCAGCTTTTCATCAGCAGACCTCAAAGTGCATTACACAAGAGGTCAGTATTATCCCTATTTTACAGATGGGGAAACCAAGGCACAGGGTGCTGAAAGGACTTTCCAAGATCACCCAGCAGGGTAGTGGTGGAGTTGGGAAGAGAGCCTAGGTCTCCTGAGTCCCAAGCCAGTACAGTGCTCTATCCACTAGGACACACTGCTTCCCCTGAAACTCTTACAAGATTAAAGAGTTCAGTGCGGCCTGGAGTTTCATAGCAAGTTATTGCTGGCAGCTCCTATTGTAATACCCACCATTAAAATCATTTAAAGCTTTTATTAAAGACACAGAAAAAGAAAGAAAACAGCTAAAGCATTTGAAATGTGAAGTATTAAGTAAGGCTTATTCTTTTCTCTTTACCTATAGAGAGTTTTTTGTAGAGGATATCTCTGTTTGACCAGTATTAACTGTCCTTTTGAGGGGAAAAGAGAAGCAGTTAGTTGAGATAGGCTGGAGCTGTTGTTGCTGTTGCTGGTGGTGTTGTGCTTGGAATCCAATCCTGGTTTCTTGAAGACAAAACAAGACAATCACACACACAAGTGGAGCAAAAAAAACAAAGGTTCCAACTCTGGTGCCAACTTTCACTTGCAAGTTCACCACTGGAGAAACACAGGCCTGGCCCATGGTCTGATCAGGACCTGGCAAACTGTTCCCAGAACAGGGCTGTTGAAGGCATTGCTGGTAGCTGCCTCTCTGCTCAGGGGCATGTTGCAGAAGGGGAAGAAGTCTTTGCTGGCTCTGACAGGCTCTTAATATATCAGACTGGAAAAAATGCCTTATTTTTTAACCGTGAGAGTAATTTACCATTGAAACAACTTACCAAAGGGGGTGGTGGATTCTCCATCTGACCATTTTTAAAATCAAGATTGGATGTTTTTCTAAAAGAATCATTTATTAATATTTTCTAGGAATGATTTTGGGCCAGTTCTCCAGCCTGTGTTATGCAGGAGGTGAGACTAGATGTTCACAATGGTTCCTTCTGGCCTGGAATCTCTGAATGTCTGAATTACATAATGGCAAAAGGAGAGAGATAGAGAAGAGGAGAAATAAAGTGGGGGGAAGGAAAATAATGTACAAAGGATGGGGTTACAGCAGGAACCCACATCTCCCATTCCAGGTGGTGTTCAGACTCTAGCTGAAGCTGGGGAAGGGGAGGTGTCATTTGGTTCCCTCTCTGGCCTGGTCTGGTCAGAATGTCTGTCAGGAGCAGGACAGTGAAGGGCCAATGCTGTCATCACAGAATTGCAGGAGACAGTGGGGGCGGCTGCCTCCTTCTGGTCCAGGCATCCCACCTCTCCCACTCGCTGATCCCCAGAAAAATGGGTGGCAACCTCAGTGTCACCAACCTTACGAGAGCAAAATTCCTGAGTCAGACCCCAAAAATCATGAAACTGACCCAAAAAGATGCAAACGCCTTTCAGAGTCAGGGCCAGCATGCATGTGATGTGAGAACTGTCTACCTGTAATGCACCCAAAAATGCACAGCTCTTCGGCTGCTCAGCTCGAGACTCCATGTACCCTCCCCTCACCCCGAGACAGGGGAACTGCCAGTCATTGCCTAGCACTCTCCTGACCCAGCAGCAGCATTTCCCTGCCTCCCGCCAGGTCCAGGCCAGGGTAGGGTTGCGTCCTTAGCCATCCAGTGAGAAATTCCAAAATTCTGAAAAACATTTCGTGTTGTGTCAGCACAAAGAGCAGGAGGCAGTTTCTTTGCTCACAATTCCAAATCTTTGCTCACAATTCCAAAACCCCCAATCCCACATGGTTTGGCTCCTATTCCGCCTTGCCATGCTGATCTGTGGTTTGGCTCGTGGCTTCTATTATTTCAGCTGTCATTAAACAAAAAGGCATTTAGCTGCTCTCTTCATTTAGCCTGAATGAAAGACAGCTATCGTGACCACCAGCTGAAGGGAGGTTTGTGACTGTCCATAGATCAAAGAGACAAGGTGGGTGAGGTAACATCTTTTACTGAACCAACTTTGGTTGTTGAGAGAGACAAGCTTTCGAGCTTACCCAAAGCTCTTCTTCTTGTCTCTCGCACCAAACAGAAGTTGATCCAGTGAAAGATAACACCTCAGTCACCTCATCTCTCTAATATCCTGGGATCAACATGGCTACAGCAACACTGCATACACAGATCACAGACACACTCCCTGTTATAACATAACACTGGTTTAGTATAAGTCTGCGTTAGCAATTTAGGGCCAGTTTTTAAAAAGTATTTACATGGCTCAGGAACTGGGCACCTGGGCACTTTTAAAAATCTAGCCTTTAATATTTAACACTGTCAAACACTTAATTCTTACTGTTTGGGGGCAGGGGATTAAATGCCTTTATATTGACCCATCAAAGTTATTACCAATATCACAGAAACTGCAAACCTCAAAGAAAAGGAAAAAGGAAACAAAGCTTTGGTAAAAGATGAAAAAACATGAATAACTGGCAAAGACCCCTCACTGTTCATAGTTTGTTTTGCATGCTTGGTCTAAATCAGTTAAACAAGCATGTGCCTTAGGGGGTTGGCTGGGCTCAGTCACCACCTTTCCCACTTTGCAATGATGCCAGCAGCATACTGCACTTGCTCAGTATGCAGAGCCTGGCCATGTCCAGCAGAAGCTGCTGAGTCAGGGGCTGCCTCTCTCCTTGCCTATAGGAGAGCAGGTTATCTAAATGAACCAACAAGCAGATCACCCAGCCCCTTGCCTGTGTCTCCACAGCACACCCTGGGACCTGGGCTTTCACAGGCAAAGGGAGCCCCTTGGTAAACTATTGGCAGCACATCCCTGGAGAGAGATAGCTCAGGGACCCTAAACCTCCCCCACAGTGGCAGCTCCCTCCCCCCCCAACCTCTATGTTGATCTTGCCCCTCACAGACCTGATCTGAGCATAGGAGAAGATGGGTGGTGCCCTGTGGTGTCAGGGTCAATTTGGAGTCTTGCTGCAGCTCCCATCCTGGGCTTTAAACCATTTGGCCCTGACTCCTCCAGAGCTCATGTGGCTGTCAGCCATGGCCCGGAGCTGCAGCGGGCAGCCTGGGCCTGGGTAGAGGGGCACATTTCAAAGCCCCCCATCCCTCTGACACACAGGAACAGCTCTGCTCTGCTGTGCCCAGGCAGCCCAGGTCATAGCTGGGATCTCGTATTGGACTATCAGCAATAATATATTACAATGAATGGACATATCATAATAATGCAGTGACCTAACCTGCCCCCTATACACACTGCGCCTTACAAATACAGACACGTACCCCTCTATAAACACACTGCCCTGCACCACTCACACATAGTCTCTCCCCTGCTATACACACATGCACCTTCCCTCCAAGCACAGACACACGCCCTCCTGCACGCGCACATAGCTTAGCTCCATGGATGCTCCTAGGTTCAGTGGGAAGTTGCTGGTATGACACGCTGTTCATACAAGCGTTGGCAGAGTGTGGCCAGAGACAGAGGCCTCAGATGCCTGGCAGAGGGGATTCGACCCATCCTGGGTCCAATGTCCAGGGTTTGATCCCCTGGGTCCCTCTGTCATTCCTCTCCGCTGCTGCCCTAGGGGCAGGTCACTCACTCTGGAGAAGGATGCTGTCTCTGCGATCTTGCACTGTATCCCGCATTCAGATAGTGGTTTCCTCATCACTCAGCGATGAGACATTCTCCATGATCCCTGACATTCTCAGGGGATCCCTCATGCCCTCGCCTCCCCACACACATACATTGCTCCTGTCTACACACACTCCCTTCTCCATAGACACACACTCTCCACCAGGCTCACACATACTTCCCCACAAAGCCCAGGATGTGCTGTGATGGGGGGTGCCAGGAGACATGGAGTAGGTATGTTGGAGGTGGATCTTTCTTGCTTTACTCTGCCTGAATGCCATGGGGAGCCTCCTCTTCTGAGCTCAAGGCCCTCTTTTCCTGATAAAGCATCACTTTATTACAGACTTGATTTGAGGGACGGTGTGAAGCAGGATTGGAGGGGTCTGAGGGAATCGAGGGGTGTCTCTCGCCCTGGCTTTGGAGCTCCAGAATCTTGTCTGCCTCCCTTTGAAATCCGTTTGTAGGGCTGGTGCTGTCCCTGCTCTGTGCTGGGTGCTGTGCCGTGGGGGGTTGGGTGGGCGAACTGTCCCAGCTACAGCTCTGCATTCCCCTGCCTCTGTGGAGCCAAGCCAGGATTTCACACTTGCTGTTCCCTGGGGCCCTGGCAGGCTCCCTGGAGCCTCTGCAACCAGTGTGTCCCATGCAAGCGCCAACACTGGATTAATCCTGCTCCCATGGCTCGCAATGGGGGATGTGTCCTCACTGGGTGCAGGATGCAGCCCAGCAGTCTGCTAAGCACTGGGGAAATCTTTGTAGTGTCACGGTTTGAAGAATGTGCACAATCTTACCACCAGCCATGCCAACGTTCTCTTAAACTTACCTCTCAGGCGCCATCCTGCTGAGCACTCCTGGGAAGTGCTGAGCACCCTCTACTTCCATTTGCCCTAGAGGGTGCTCAGCCCAGGGCAGGATCAAGTCCCTGGAGACTATCCATTGCCAAGGGCTCCTGACCACACCCCAAAGGCTGGGTGGTGAGCTCTCGCTGTTCCTCTATCGGCCCCTTGCAGCAGGCGAGGCACTGGACACCCAGAAGACCAGGCACGCCCTGGCTGGCTGCAGCGATAACGGGGCTCAGAGCCATGCTGAGGGTTTGCACCTCACTGCCTAGTGCTGCCGATTGAAATTCAGTTACTGTCTGTTTACCATTCTAGGCCTCACAGTGCTTCTGAATGGAAGTTCAGAACCAACGTCTCTCCAGCACAATAGTCTTAGATGTGCTGCCCCAGGAGCACAGAGCCCCTGAGAGCAAGCATCCAGATGGAGGTGTTCTGCTGGTGCCTCTTTCCTAGGCATGGTCAGGAACTCAGCATATCTCCTGCATGACAAAGCCCTCGCCATCCTGTCTGTGACCTTTTGTGTTTGTCTGTAGTCTCCCTTAGCTCATGGTTTTCAGTGTCACATTTGGGAGGGTGGGGGTGGGGGCAAGTGAGTGCTGAATATTACTGGAGAGGGGGCTGGGCTGTTATCAGAAGATGGAAACACTGAAAGTTATACAGCGTAGGCACTGAAAACTAGAAAGTCATGGTAGCTTCATACACAGCACCCAAGTAATGTGCAAGGATGATGCTGGTTTGGCACATGGCTCCTACCCACCTACCTTCAAACCCCCTGACCCAAAGAATATCAGAACTACACTTAAAACCAAAGTAATGGAAAAGGGGAGTGTCCATGGAGCAGGAGCCTATAGTGGTTTCTTTTAACAGAGAAATTGAAAGAGGACATAGCTACTCTTAGCAGATTGGGGACCCTGCTCATGCCCGGACATTTTCCCCATTCCATCACAATGCCACATTCAAACTATTTACAAAACGTCTTTACAAAAACTAGAATGCCTGGCCATCAGGATATTGCTGGATCTACTCCCACGAAAGCTCTCTGTAAACTTTTCCCCTCCCCAGTGGAACAGCATATATGTTTAGCTGAAGACAAGGGAGAATAAGGAGCCGGGCTACTTTAAATGTATTTTGCAAAGTTTCTCTCTCTCATATCTTCCCTCTCTTAAACAGCTGACCACCCTTCCCCAACACAGAGGGTCCTTCTGTCATTCCTTTGGAAGTCTGGGGTCAGTGAATTATGGGACTTAGAAAAATGGATGTTTCTTCTCTGAGATGAGCCTCTGCATCCTCCTGTTTATGAGTCTCATCTCCCAGAACTCTGGTTACTTTACAGGCAAGGAACCTTCATTCTTTTAGCACATTTTAAACATTCTGGCACTTTGCTTGGTTACCTTGCAAAACCAGCCAGTGGTTCTGACTTCACACTTCCTTTATAGATCAGCCTCCAATCAAAGCCATGCACAGGCCTCGTTTTGCTCTTTGGACTCTGTATGGGTTGATACAGTTAATTATTTCTCTGAATATATTATAACATCTGAGCTTGTGCTGCCGAGAGTCCACAGGAGGACACAACAATTATAAGCTCAGCATGAGAAGAAGAAGAAGAAAAAGCATCTGGTTATTCAGCACTTTCCACCTGATGATCTGTAAGCACATGGAGTGGAAATGTTATTATCCCCATTTTAGAGACAGGGAAAACTGAAGCAAAGGACTTTTCCTGTTGGACATTTGCATCTCCTGTTGAGTGCAGTGGGAGCTGCTGATTTCCTGTTGCTGGGGAGCAAGGCCAAGAGAGGTTAATATGTGACTTGCCCTGGGTCGCAGGAAGGCCAGGGCATAGCACAGGCTTCCTATGTGCATGCAGGCAAAGATCTCTGCAGTACATGAATACTTGGATAGAAAACTAGATGGCTGACATGCAGATTCTCCGTGCTCTGCTGGCCTCAGGTTTCTTACATAGCCTCCCATTAGGCGCTTTATGCCATGCACTGAAATCTTACGCACTGTGCTTACCATCATAGGGTGACCAGATGTCCTGGTAAAATCAGGACTGTCCCGATTTTTAGTTTTTGTCCTGCGTCCCGACCGATGTACGATCAGGACGCCAGCTGTCCCAATATTGCGGCTTTGGCCGCTCTGGCGGGTTTTTTTTTTTCTTTGGCAACTCAGCTCAGGCCGCTTTTTTGGTTGCTGTTGTTGCCTCCCCCATCTGTCCCGATATTTTGTCTGTTTCATCTGGTCACCCTATACCATAATGAAGTTTCCAGGTTCCTTATGAGCTCCTTGCTCACTTACTGATGCAGTGCTCATAGGGTCTGGAGCTGTTGCAAGGTGCTTAAACTTTCTGCAGGCCCATCCTAATCTTTGTAAATTCTGGGGTCCTTCAGGGCATAAATTCTGGAGGGTTGCCTTGTTCTCTATGCCACTGCTGGGCAGTACCTGAATTGCTTTCTGGAATAGCAGTTATTCATTACTCCCTTTGAATCCTGACCTTCCTTCTCTGGGCTCTCCCTGGCCTCCCTTGGGATGCAGGAGAGACCTGCTGATCATCCTGGGCCTGCACACTGCTCTCATGCCCACCAGCTATATTGGAAAGAGATCCCAAGCAGAAGCCTCCATCTCACTGAATAATGGATTTGAAATTGTACCTCTCAATAAAGGAATCTGCTGGAGCTTCATAAGATAGCTGGCTGGTTCCTGCTCATGAAGGGGCTCACGGGCCCTGGGCACCAGTGACTAGGCTGAAGAGAACTCATTACCCCTTCCTGCATGCCAGGCACACCCTGGGGCAACGTGCCATCTGACATCAGTAAGGCCAGACTAGCAGAGGGCAGCATCCCTTTCACCTCCTAAGCAAGGGCTTCCAAATGCCAGACCGGGGGACAATTCTGAGTTTGCACCCAGGCACCCTCACTGTCTGTCATGGGGTGGGCTCAGGGCATTGCCTTGTGGGGGTGGGCTTGGCAGAAGCTTTTGCTTTTTGCTCTAACTTAAACCTTGTTCCTCCCTGTTTCCTGGCACCCCTCCCACTTGGCCTGGAGACTCGGGCTGGGTTTGCATTCGGTGTGTTTGACCCCTGCCTCCTGCCTGCATGGGAAGGGTCAGGGGCTTGGTGCAGGGAGCTCCCAGGCTGCCCCACAGCCTTCCCCAGTGGCCTGTTCTCCCCTCTCAGCACTCGCCGGCTTCGCCTGATCCCAGCAAGTCATAGTGCAGGCGCTCTATAGACAGGACACATGCTGCGCACCTGCCAGCCCACCCCCGAGTGGGGTCCCCATCCCCTGCCAGCCTGCCCCCAGATGGATTGCCTGGCTCCCTGCCAGCCCACCCCTGGGTGGGGTCCCAAAGGTGCAGAAGGCCAGAGGACCTGGTGCCTTGCAAGAAAGGAGGGAGCCCAGGCCCCCTGACAGCTTTTCCTAGGCCCCTTGCCATAGATGCTGGGACTGGGGGAGCTGTCACACCCCTTGGCTTGAAGTGGTTTCTTTTATATATGGGGTTTACAGTTGGATCAATGGCTCTCAGCACCCTCACTATATAAATCGTTCCAGCATCCTGCCCCTCACTGTGTGGCTGCACTGGCCCCAGGCAGCTCCACAGCCCCTCCTGCCCAGCGCTGTTCCCATGAACAAACCAGCCCCGAAGAGTCCATGGGCTGGCAGGTTGCAGCTGCACCCACAGGCCTTGGCACAGAGCAGGCAGGGCCTGTCTCCCATACCCTGGAGTCATTAACTAGGTGACAGACCAAAGGAGGGCCTGATTCAGCACTCTGTGCCACAGGCTGGGCTCATGGGGGGTCCAGGGGGAGGCGAGCCAAGGGGGTCCCAGGGCACGTCCTGTCCCCATGGCAGGAGTCTTGGCAAACACCCGCCAAGGCAAAGAACCTGCTTCCCAGAGGGCCTGCTCCTGCCTCCCCAGTCTCCACCTGGGCCCACAAAGGCTCCATTACCCCAGAGCGCGGCTGCTCAATGAGGAGCAAATCAAAACCCAGCGGCACCGCGAAGCCCCGGCCCAGAGGCGGCTCCCGCTGGGGCCAGCCAGAGGCGAGCTGGGCGGGAGCCACGGGGCTGGGGGCGCCGGGGTCGGCGCAGAAGCTGCTCCGTGCGGGGAAGCGCAGCAGAGACGTGGCCTTCGCAACACACAGGGGCGGACCTCCCGGGACTGGTGTGTGGCTGCGCCGAGGGGTCCCCGCCCGGCCGCCCCCAGGACTGTGCTGGGTGGGGTGCTGCGCCACGAGGCCCACCCGCTGCTGTCGCGCAGCCCAGCTGCCCCCTGCAGGCCGCGGCCTCCCGCCCCAGCCCCGCGCGGCGCAAGGAGAGAGCAGGACAGCACACGTGGAGCGCCAGGCAGCGGCTTTTATTTCAGATCATTGGGCTGCTCAGCTGCTGCGCACAGGGGCCTGCGGAGGCCAGCCCGGCCGAGGCCGCCGCCTAACGGTACTTGGAGGTCAGCACAGTGCTCACAGTGCCCATGAACTTGTCCAGGGAGACGTGGACGTCGGGGGTGAAGAGGGTGGGGTGGTGTCTGGCCACGACCACCAGCAAGCAGTGGCTCAGCAGCTGGAAGACAAGGCACGCGAGTGAGAAGAGCTGGGAACCGGCTGCACAGGAGGGGCCACCCAGCTACTGCCCGAACCGGCCTCAGCTAGCCTGGCCCCATCCCCCCGGCCCAGTTCAGTCATGGGGCGCCCCTATGACCCAGCAGTCCGGCCCAGGGGCGGGGGCACAGGGACAGCAAGGGCTGCGGGCGCCGCACAGGAGGGAGGTTGGGGAGCGCCCCGGGGGAGGGGGAGCAGCCGGCTCGGACCTGGGGTGGGGGGGGGCATTTCTCCCCGTCACTCACTTTGAAGTTGACGGGATCCACGCGTAGGATGTGGGCGTGCTTGTCGCTCAAAGCGCTGAGAGCCGTGGCGATGTCATCGATGTGGTTCACGGCATCCCCCAGGGCGAGCATCACCTTCTTGCCGTGGCTCCGAATCTGGGTGGAGCCGTGGTGAACGTCGAAGTGCGAGAAGTAGGTCTTGGTCTGGGGGAAGACGGTGAACATCCTGCAAAGAACAAGGCGGGTTAAGGGGGGGCCTGGCCGGGCGCAGACGGGGCGCAGGGCAGAGCGCAGCGGCGGTTACCTGTCCAGGGTCTCGGCGCCATAGTCCTCCAGGTGGCCTTGCACCTTGCTCCACACGGACTTCACGTTGGCCTTGTCACCCGAGCTCAGCACCATGGTTCCGGCTCCGCAACAATCCCTCCAGGGTACCCGTCTGCAGCCCCGGCCACCCTTATATCCCGTCCCCCGGCCCGCCCCGCCTCTCCCATTGGCTGGCACCGGGCCTGCCAGGGGCCCGCTGGGCTGCTCTGCATGCTGGATGCCCAGCAGGAGGCACTGGACCCCCGCGAAGAGAGCTGCCCTGCCTCCCGGGCACTTCGCAGGCCCCTGCGCAAGAAGAGGGGGCCTGTCCCCTGCGGGCGCACCGGGGAGAGCAAAACGCAGGGGCAGGCGCGTGTCCTTCATGCTGGCGCCCCCAGGTGCCCCTGGGCTCTGAAGGCCAGAGGAGCTGAGCAATTCCGCGAGGCGGCGCCAGACCCGGCAGCGATCTCCCCGGCCTGCTGCCTAGTGGGCTGAGGGGAGAGCTGTCCAGAGTGCTGGGCTCCTCCGCCTTGGCCGGCGCCTATGGTGGGCAGCCTGGGGGCTCCCATGGAGCCCGTTCGGGGTCTCTGCTCCTAGAGGAAGCGTGAGGCGGCGAGTCTGGTTGGGTGGCCCCGGGCGCCTCCTTGAACTACAGACAAAACGGGAACAAGAAGTCTCAGCCGAGAGTATCTCAGCCCGCAACCCTGAATCCTCTGCCCTGCCTGTGTCTGCTGCGCCCAGCGGATAACAGGTGCTGGGGAGGGGTGGCTCACGCTGCTAAGGCGAAAGTATAAAAAGTAGCATTAGTGCTACTCAGGGGGCAGTTCTCCCACACAGTGCTCCCCATACTGCTCCCTCCTACACACTGTTCCCTGAAACACACTACTCCCCCCCCACACACACACTGGCCCCCTTGCTAAGAACACAAGAACAGCCATACTGGATCAGACCAATGGTCCATCTAGCCCAGTACTCCCTCTTCTGGTAGTGGCACGTGCCAGGTGCTTCAGAGGGAGTGAATAGAGAAGGGCAATTATTGAGTGATCCATTCCCTGTCCTCCACTCCTGGCCTCTGGCAGTTAGAGGGTTAGGGACACCTAGAGCATGGGGTTGCATCCATGATCATCTTGGCTAAAAGCAGTTGATGGACCTCTCCTCCATGAAATTCTATAATTATTTTTTGAACCCAGTTATAGTCTAGGCCTTTACAACATCCCAGGCAAAGAGTGCCACAGGTTGACTGTTCCTTATGTGCTGAAGTAGTGCCTTTTGTTTGGTTTGCTGCCTGTTAATTTCATTGGGTGATCCCTGTTTTGTGTGTTATGTGAAGGGGTAAAGCACACTTCCTTCTTTACTTTCTCCACACCCCTCATGATTGTATGGAGCTCTATCACACACACCCCATCCCACCCCAGTTGTCTCTTTTCCAACCTGAAAAGTCCCAGCCTTTTTAATCTGACCTCATACAGAAGCTGTTCCATGTCCCTCATCATCTTTGTTGCTCTTCTCTGTACTTTTTCAAATTCTAATTATTTTTTTAGATGAGGTGACCAGAACTGCACACAGTATTCAAGATATGGGCAGACCATGGATTTATATAGAGGCAATATGATCTTTTCTGTCTTATTATCTATCCCTTTGGTTCCTAACAGTATTCACTTTTTTGACTGCTGCTTCACATTGAACAGTAGTTTTCAGAGAACTATCCACAATGACTCCAAGATCTCTTTCTGCAATGGTAACAGCTAATGGAGCCCATCATTTTGTATGGATAGTTGGGATTATGTTTTCCAATGTACATTCCTTTGCATTTATTAACATCTGCCATTTTGTTCATCTACTACATCTGCCATTTTGTTCATCTACTCAGTCACTCAATTTTGTGAGATCTCTTCAGGGGTGCTGAAACAAGGTGTATCATGGGGGTGCTGAGAGCCACTGAACCAAACTGTAAACCCTGTGTATGATGAAAACCACTTCAAGCCAGGGGGTGCAGCAGTGCCTCCAGCCTCTATGGATCCTTTCATAACTCTTCACAGCTAGCCTTGCACTTAACTATCTTGAGTCATTTTGTGTCATCTGCAAACTTTGCAACCTCACTGTTTACTCCTTTTTCCAGATAGTGTATGATTCTGTTGAACAGCACTGGTCCCAGTACAGATCCCTGCCCCCCACCCCATTTACCTCTCTCCATTGTGAAAAATGACCATTTATTCCTACCCTTTGTTTCCTACCTTTTAACCAGTTGCTGATCCATGAGAGGACCTTCCCTTTTATTCCACTGTGCCCCCCACCCCCTCCTCACATGCTGTGCCCTCATACAGACTTTCCCCATACACGCATCCCCACACTGCCCCGTCATACACACTACCCCTCCACACACTGTTCCCTCACACATACTCCCCCTCAACACACTGCCCCCAGGCACTGCTGCTTCATACACACTGCCCCCACAGCCCCCGATCCAGCCCCTCCACACACACTGCTAACCTGACACTGCACCATCATATATATTTTACACACACACACTGCCCCTTCATATTCACTGCCCCCTACACTCTCCCCCACACTACCTCCTCACACACACTGCCCTGTAACACACACCATCCGCCTTCTCATACTCTGCTGGCTCATACATACTATACCCTACACGTGCCCCCCACCATTGCCCCTTCATACAAACTGCCCCACGCGCTGCACCCTCATATACACTCCTGCTCCATTTGCTTCCAGTCCACACACTGCCCCCCCCATGCTGCTCTTTCATACACACTGCCCCCACACACACTTCCCATTCATACACACACTGCCCCCTCACACTGCCCTTTTGTACACACTGCCCCTCCACTCCCTACCCCTCCACACACACACACTGCCCTCTCACATGCTTTGCCCTTTTGTACACACTGCCCCCCAACACCCTTACCCCTCCACACACACACTGCCCCCTCACATGGTTTGCCCTTTTTTACACACTGCCTCCCCACTCTCTACCCCTCCACACACACACTGCCCCACACACTCTCTGCCCTTTTGTACACACTGCTCCCCCCACTGCCTACCCCTCCACACACACACTTTTCTTTCACACACTCTGCCCTTTTGTACACACTGCCCCCCCACTCCCTACCCCTCCACACACACACTGCCTCCTCACATGCTTTGCCCTTTTTTACACACTGCCTCCCCACTCCCTCCCCCTCCCCACACACTGCCCTTTCGTACACACTGCCCCCCACCCTATCCCTCCACACACACACACTGCCCCCTTACACACTCTACTCTTTCATACACACTGCTCCCCACTCCCTCAGCCTCCCCCACACACTGCCCCCTCACACACTGTGCCCTTTTGTACACACTGCCCCCCACACCCTACCCCTACACACACACACTGCCCCCACACACGCTCTGCCCTTCCATACACTGCCCCCTCAAACACAGATTCTCCCCACACACTGCTCCCTCATATGCACTGCTCCATACACTGCTTCCTCATACACACAGCCCCACAAAGAGCACCACACATACAGTGCCACGCCTACACACTGTCCCCTCATATACATGGTCCCTTCACATACACTGCCCCCCACACAGATCCCCTCCTCACACACTATTCCCTCCTACACACTGCCCCCAACACTCTGCTTCTTTATACACTCTGCCCCCCACTGCTGCTCCATACAATGTGCCCCCTACACACTGCCCCCCACAGTGCCTCTATACATACTACCGCCTAATACATATTTCCCCCAGACACTGCTGCTTTATATGCACTGGCCCTTCAGATACATGTCCTGTGCACACACACTGTGCCTTCTTACACACTTTACACACAGCCCTTTCATATACACTGCCCCAACACATGCCCCTTCATACACACTCCTCCCACACGCTGCCCCCTCACATACACTCCCCCACACAGCCCATCCTCACATACTGCTCCCTCATACATACTGCCCCCATGCACACAGCCCCCACACAGCCCCTTCAGACACACTGCCCCCCAGCATTTTGCTCCTTCATACATTCTGCACCCCACTGCTGCGCCACACACTGCCCCACATATGGTCCCCTCCTACACAGCGCCCCTCCCTATACTGTCCCCTCAGTCACATTGCCCCCCTACAGTGCAGGGTCACACACCACTCCCCCACGCTCACCCCATATACAAAATCCACAATCACACTTCATCTACACACAAACACACACTCACAAACACTGCCACCCCAAAAACCCTGTCCCCCATTCACACACACATCCCCTCCCTGTCGCACAGGCTCACATACATGTTTGGTGATGACAGATAAAGAACACAAAGCATTTCCCTAGGGTTTTGGCTGAGACAGAGCACCAAAGACTCCCAAACAAAGGGAGAGGCTGGTGTGCACACAGCTCGTGCAACCAATGTGGCACGGATTATTTTAAATGGAGATTTAATGCAGGGCATGGGTGCTAGGTGGAGAGCCCTGGGGCTTTTCTTCCAAAAAATGGAAGCCATCCTCCCTCAGTCCAGCCGTCCTGGTTGGAGCAAAAGCGGAGGCTTCAGAGCAGTCATGGTTTGACGCAGGGTCACCAGTCTTCGTTTGTCTCAGACAGTCACCAGTCTGAGAACTGTTTGGCCTGCACAGTGGGTAAGATGTCTAAGTCTCTGAATTATGGGACTCAAACTTCCCACGTGGTGCAGCTCCAGTATGGGAAGTTTGGGTCCCACAATTCAGCCCATTCTACAGATCTAAAGACAAATGCTAAATGATAGTGACAATTGAAGATAGGCCCTAATTCTGTCCCTAGAAGATTGTACGGCTCAAGGATCTCAAAGTAAAAAATTCAGCCTCACCACTGCACACCCTCCTCCCCAGCTAAGTAGGTGAGGCATGTTAGTTCTATTTTGAAGATGAAGAAGCAGGAGGCAGAGAGAGATTAGAGAGTCAATCGTGCAGCTCCTGATGTCTATGGGAGTGTGGATATAGACTCCAAAGTGTCCAGGACTAGGCCCTTAGTGACTTGCCCCTGGTAGCACAGAAAGTCAGAGTTAGAAGCTCTGTCTTCTGGCCCTCCCTAGCCCCTGCCTTCACCACAAAGCCTGCTCCTGCTCTCACCTCAGCATGCCCACCAGCTGTGTGCGTGTTCTGGCTGATAAAGGCACACCCTGCAGT